TGGTGGGACGTCCCTTATTTAGGCAGGGCGAAGAGCAGAGAAAGAACTCCCTCCGCTGGTTCCTTCTTCGAAGAGAGTTCCACAGACCTTACGCTCCCTCACCTCTCAAAGGTGCTACCTCTTACTTCATTCGCATTGACAACACACGAATTTGGGAAGAGACATAGCTGAAATCATAGAGGCTTAAATAGCACAGATAACAACAATGAAAACCAAGAAGCCTGTTTCTTTAATCTCCTTTCAACTTCTAAGTCATATCTCCATTTTATTTTTGCAGTTATTAGTTTACAGTCTTACATATTCTTAATATTTTTCTGTTCTACCAAAAATAGCTTTTACATCTTGATTCTCACTATAGAATTAGGACTTGGTTCCCTAGCAGTTTCAGTAAATCATGTGAGCAATTACTGAGTGTGTAAACCCTTAATAAAAGCTGATTGTGTTTTATGAGAGAGTAAAGCTTTCTAGCTTCCTGTTTACTCTTTTGAAACCTCTTAGACGTATATGGACCTCCTTCTCTTTACAGTATTCAAATAGCAAAGCTAACATTTGATAAAAAGTGTATTAGGATGCACATATCTGAAAAAAAATAAAGTATTGAAAACATACAATTGAATCAAATGGAAAACACGATAAAATGACATGGTTAATATCTGAATAGAAGTGTTATATATTCTATTTAGTTACAAGAAATAGCCTCAAACCATATTGTATGTTTTCTTTTAAGATAGGAGGCTATTGTAAAAATCAACCCCAAACAATTATAGAACAAAGATGTCCTTTATTATTGTAATTATTATTAGTTATTATCCTAAGTGTTTTTATATTATTATCTTTTATTATATAATAAAGATATCCTTTATTATAATATAATAAAATATATTTATATAAATATATTTATAAATGTAATAAAAATATCCTTTATTTTATAATTTTGGAGGTTGATTTTTTATGATAGCATGATCCTCTAGTGAGAATTCATGTAAGTCTAACCAAATTGATCCTTTGTCGTAGTTTAAATATAATTAAGCCATTTACTCTTGTTATGTACCTGCACAGACTTCTACATACTTCTGAGTTACACCCAGTTATAACTTCTGTTCATTCCTAGATCATCGATTAAATTTGTCTCATGTCTTAGAAACAAACATGAAACAAGTTTGTTCAAGAAATTCGGAATTTTTTCCTTCTAGAAGCTTTAGTTCAAATAGCTTGATTCTTTACAGGTTCAATACTTACACTATTTAGTATATACTGAATATAAATTAGCATGATATTTGGAGGATTGTTGTTGGACAGTACTGACAAAACCCATTAGTATACGTCTGTGATGTTAACAGAGTAGCATCCGTGAGTGGACCACTTGCGCCTGAGGCTGAGTCCCATGATGTAATGACAGGAGTGAGCGTGTGAGTGAAGCCCAGCAGAAGTGGATGAGCACTATGGCTCAGGTCGTGGTCTGCAAAGCAAAGCTTAGGTCCAGTACTTGTGCCTTGCAAAGTTCCTAGTGTTGTATTCTTCTTGTATCTTTAAAAGATGGCTAAAAACTATCTCGCATACCAAACAACTAACTAGCTCTGCTATGTGCCATAAGCTGTCTAGTTGTCAGATCCTGATTTTCAGGCGACCATTGTGTGTGAAGCATGGATGTTGAAAGTGAAGACTCCCCACTCGCATTTTTGTACAATGAGAATTGGTTTGTCTTGAAATGTAAGGAGGAAAGTCAAACAATAGTAAAAGGTGGGCTTGGTAGAATACAGTTGTAATCCCAGCACTGGAGAGTTAAAGGCAGGAAGATCAGGGCTCACAGCCCCTTTTCAGGGATGTAGTGAGTTCTAGGCCAGTCTGGACCACGTGGAACTACTACATGAGACACTATATGAAATACAGAGAGACAGACAGACAGACAGAGACCGAGAGACTGAGACAGACAGAGACTGAGAGAGACCAAGACAGAGACCGAGACCGAGAAAGACCAAGACAGACAGACAGACAGAGACAGAGAAAGACCAAGACAGACAGACAGAGAGAAACAAAAACAATGAAAGGTTCATTTGAGTCTTGTTTCCCCCAGAACTGTGCTCTCAGACTTTGAGAACTGTCAGCTCTGTCTCTCCTCTTTACTGTGAGGGGTCCACCCTGTTCTTCCTGTTCTGCTTGGATTAGATCACAAATAAATATTTTCTCTTTTATTTGTTTTGTTTTATTGTCTTTTTTTTTTTCCTTAAAGCAAGGGTTTTATTTCTGTTGTGTTCAATGCTATATTGACACTAAAGAAAAAAAATCTGTGACTAGAGTGAGAAAACCAAGAAAGTGAGTATTTTCCTAAACTTATAAACTAAATTTAAGGTCACAAAATAAACATTCATAAAGTGTACCACAAAATGTCTATATTATAAAGATCCTTCAAGGAAAAGTTAGAAATACCTGTAGACAATGTAGTCTGGAGAAAAACAATCCATCAAATACTTAACTCTGAATTTTACTTTTTTGTTACTACTTTCTTTCCTTTTGGTACAAATGAGCCTGTTTTATTTTTCTACTGTAGGAAAAAACTTACCAATATACTAGAGCAACTAGAAATGATGAGAAAATACATTTGAAATACACAGTCTCAAGGAAACAGGTCAAATCCTAGACTTGGCTATAATTGTATGTATTTAAGCTAACAGGGTTGTTGATTGTAAATTTAACCCCCAACAGTGCATTAAAATATTGTGCAAATTTAGTTAAATGGAAAAAGTTTGCTTTTTCTTTTTTTTATTTTCTTTCCTTTCCTTTCCTTTCTTTCTTTCTTTCTTTCTTTCTTTCTTTCTTTCTTTCTTTCTTTCTTTTTTTTTTCTTTTTTGAGACAGGGTTTCTCTGTGTAGCCTTGGATGTCCTGAGGCTGGCCTTGAACTCACAGAGGTCCACCTGCCTCGCCTTCCTGAGTGCTGGATTACAGGTGTGCATCCGGCTTGCTTTCATTTTTAAAAGATCACGTGCACCAGTGTGCGAGAGGAAAGGAAACCGTAACTGGTAAGGGCTGCGTCAGGAGAGAACACTGTGCTGCACACCTTCCAGAGTATGTCCATGTACTTAGTTCCTGAGACACAGCTTCCTCTCTGGTATTCATATCCTTGGCTGTAGTTACATTTGGATTCATTAGTAAGCAGTATTTCACACAATCATATTTCAGTCTAGACGCCCTTAGGAACTGTGGAGATCACTGGTCTCAATAACTTGAGGTGCTGTGGAATAAACACGTTGTATTTTTAGGCCAGGAACTGTGCCCTGGTATCTTGTGTGGGCACAGGTGCACTGGTGTTCTCAGAGAGCAGGGCGTGGAACTGTGTACGGAGCTGTGGCTCCTGCTTGGATGTTTTCACAGCAAAGTTGTCAAGTAGCAGCCTGTGGTGCCTGCTGCCTTCCTGCTATCTTTGTAGCAAAGTCACTTAGAGTCCGCTCCTGCTGCGCTACTCTCAGTGCACTCCCAGACCTTATCCCGGCACCTAGCTGTGGCCTGCACTTGACCACAACCTCTCTCCTTACTCTCTTTATCCTCAGCTCTATGCGGTCAGCTCTCAATTCCACGTCTGCATGAGGTCATGTAGTGTCTTAGTCTCTGCCCTGCTCTATTTGAACTCAGCATAATGTCCTCCAGGTTCATCCACACTGTCACCTTTTTTGGGGAGCTAAATAAAATTCCATTATGCATATAGGCCACATTTTCCGTATTCATTCATTTATCAATGAACATTTAGGTTTATTCTATACTTTGGCTGTTACGAGCAGTGCTACAGACAAAATAGGATGCAGATGACTCTCCAAAACAATAATTTCTTTTCTTCTGGGTAATACATAGTAGTAACTTTGCCAGCTGGTGTAATACTTCTGTTTGGTTTTTGTTTTTGTTTTGAGGAGCTTGAATATTTTCTTCCATAAAGGTAGTACTAGTTCACATTCCCATCTGGTCCCTTCTTGAGTATTTTAGGACTTTAAATGTGTTTAATCAAATTGAAAAATAAAATTCACCAAGGGCAGTGGAGCACGCCTGTAATCCCAGCACTCAGGGAGGCAGGGGCAGGTGGATCTCTGTGAGCTGAGGCCACCCTGGTCTACAAAGTGAGTCCAGGATAGACAAGTCTATATTTAGAAACCCTGTCTTGGAAAAACCAGAAGGAAGAAAGAAAGAGAGAGAGAGAGAAAGAAAGAAAAAAGAGAGAGACAGAAAGAGAGAGAAAGAAAGAAAATCCATCATTACATAACCGTTTTATGTGAACATGATATGTATAAAAAAGAAATATATAACCATGATTTGCCTACAAAGAATCTAAACCAAAGGTTTTACTTTTTCATATTCCTGTTTAAGCAAATGCTAGGACTTCATGAAAAGTTTATAGATGAAAACTTTGAATTTTTCAATCTGATATTTTCAATAACTTGTATGAGGCCAATGTCTTCAAATTTAATTTAATTTTTTTTCTGTAATTTCCTATATGCATTTTCATCTTCACCACCTTATACTTTATATTTTGGGTAATGATTATAACGTATTAAAAGTGAATAAGATATGGCTATCTGTAGGCAGAAAATTAATTATTCTTGTTTATGACATTTAAGTATGATCTAAATAAAAGGTCTTTCTTCTAACCCCTGTGATCATCCACACAGGCTTTTACCTATTTGCACACTCATTGCTAACGTTTGCCATTTCAAGTGTTTGTACCTTAAATTGAGCATTTATTTAAACTTTTATCATCAGTCATATTGCTGTCGGCATTTAATATATGTTCAAATGTGTCATCTTATGAAAGATCTTTGTCTTCACAGAATTTCCAGAGGCCCGTAAGAGCCACTGACATTGTTTGTCATGCGGTTGTCTCCGTGCACTTGCGCAGTGGGGAGTCAGCAGCCTCCGCTCCCAGGAGTGCGCAGTAGCCATGCCAGCCGTCTCACCAGCCTCGGTCCTGTGCCTTCTCTGTAATGATGCAGCTCTGTCTCTCCTTTATTCTTTGCAGAGCGCTGCAGCAGCTCCCAGCCCCGTGCTAGGAAACATGCCCCCAGGAGATGGCATGCCAGTAGGTCCTGTGCCACCAGGGTTCTTTCAGGTACTCAGAGACTTGACTAGGATGTTAAGGCGTAGGAACTCCTGCTTGGTGATGTTGACTGATAACCATAGGATGAGGCTATTGTAATTCTTCTCATTTGATTCTTAAGGTAAATATGACACTGTACAGCCAACTCTTGATTGCTCACACTGCTTATCTATTGCATTTTCCTTCATCTGTTGTATTATTTGTTTTGGTTAATGTTAAACCATTTCATTGATCTAGAAGGAAAATAAATCAAAATGCAAATTAGAATAAGTTCACTGTGGTGCATACTTTGTGGGAAAAGACACTAAAGATGTTCATTTTCAACTGTTTATACTTCCTTAGACTAAGAATAATCAAGATTTGGCTGTATTTTCAAAAGTAGCCAAGTCATTTAATAAAAATTAGAGGCTGTATCAAAATATTTGAAATCACCTTTTTGGTTTTCAGCTGTAATATTTATTAATACACTTATATAAAATTAGAAGATCACATTTCAACTGTGTATTTAGCATTTTAAAATTTCAGTACCTGCTCCTTTTAGCAATGACAACAATGATTTTAGAGCTTTAATACATTATTTTTTTAATTTTATAGATCTTTGCCTTAAATCTGATAGAATTCTAACCCAAAACATACATATCAATATAAATTCTGAAGACTTTTTTGTGTACTGTTAATTTTATAACACTCTTTGAGATAATTAACAATTTCGAAGTTAACAATTAGAGGTGGGAGACATTATAGGAACTTGTATCTAACATACTATCTTGTTAATATAGTGGGTACCTTTAGGCCAAATTGTGGTTTATTTTTAATTTCAGAATTTTTGATAATCATTGGTTAGTAATTCATATCATTATTAATGTACTTACAATGATGAAAATGGAGAGATTAAGTTGTAAGTAATTTGGCAAAGTAGATCTGTAGAATTAAAACATTTCAGTTTGAGCCTCGAACAAACCCAGCACTTTTAGGGCATATTTATTTGCTTAGCTGCTCTTTATTATTACTTGAACAATATGAAATATTTAAAAGTCATAGTAGAGCCTCATTCTGTCTTAAGGCCCCTAAGTATAACTCTGGATTATTAAAGTCAGCAATTATGCTAACATTTAATAATTGTTCTCTGTGTGCTATGCTTTAGTTTAGTGTACATGCTTTACATAAACCCCAATTCCAACAACACCCAAAAGATTGAAGTATGGAGTGCTATGATTTTCGCAGTGTAGGTGGAAACACCAAAACACTAACAAGTGACTTTTACCAAAACTGACAGCACTGGGACTTAAATCAAGACAGTCTGGATTTCTGCCACTGAAATTACCTTTGAGTGTTGACTGTTACTTGTGACATATTTCCAGCTCATTTTATTTTGTTTTACACTCTTAGTTCTCTTGCTGAAGGTGGGTTATAGTTAGGGAGAGTTTTGTCTAATAGACAGCTAGGAGCATTCCCGATCGCACTGTTAAAGGGAATGTTGGTTGGGGAAGAAGTCAAATTCTTGCACTATAGAATAATGCCAAGATGGATAAATCCATATATTTTCATTTCCACATTTGTCAGTTAATCCCCCCCCCTTGCCTGTTTTCTTGTTGGAAGTAGTCAAAATAGCTTGAGCTTACTTTTCATTATTCTGATACAATTCATGATTGTGTATTACTAATTCCAGAGACTGCGATGTCTAAAAATCAGCACATAGAGTGTACAACTTCCTGAGGCTCTTTGTGTTACCAAAAAAGCAGCCTTAAAAATGACAAAGTGAAGCGAAAAGTTTTGTGATGGCCAAGAAGAAAGAATGATTAACTCCATCAGAGTTGGACATGAGAGAGAGTTAGAAAAACAGCCCAGCAAAAGAGGTGGAGGAATGGCATCTCAGAATGAGGCCCTTAGCCAAAGTCTGAGAGTAAGCAGTGCTGAGGGGTCCAGGGTACACACAGAAAGTGCAGGAGTGGAAGTAAGGAGTCCCGCACACAAAAGGGAAAGGTGTGCTCTCTGGGCTGCTGAGAAGATCCTGAAATGGCATGTTAAAAGCTGAGTCTATTTAGCACACTTACAGGAACCATCGGGTCTTTGAGGAGGACAGTGACCCAAATGTGCAATTGATTCAGACTGTTTAGGCTGCAGGGGATTCAGATTTTGTTTGGGTGTCTCCGATAAACAGGTTTACAACACCTCCGATATCAGAAAGCCCAGAGTGTGGTGAACTGAGAAAGGTAGTGAGTTAAGTATGGGAGTTTTGAAAATAGGCATATTAAATGGGTAGAATGCGTTCGTATAGCAAATCTGATCTCTACACTCAGTCTTGGGAAAGGTGTAGTCAGGCAAGCGTTGTCAAAATAGGAACTGTAATCCGAATTAGGATCTCAAGATGAATGAGGAGGGGGAGGTAAAGGGAGCAGAGAAAAAGAACAATTGAGGAAAGACAATTCATGACAGGAACCCAGAGGAGAAAAGAATAGAAACATCTCCAGACAGCTGCAGCTTGACTAGGTGCAGGGAGAGTCGATGGCAATGCAGCCGCGAGGGCCTGGAAGGTGACACAGGGCTTTTTCCTGATCTTAGAGACTCAGGAGCTATTAGGAGGACGCCTTTGCATTTGCATCTTGAAGGGGGAAAATCATTTCAACTAATATTAGCCAGAATTGAGTTACAGAACAGTAAGTCTGGAAGTGGGGGCTGTGTAGAAGCCCAGGAAAGAGTCTTTCTGACAAGATCTGGGACAGTAGTATTAGAAGGAAAGAAACAGTAATTATGTTTGAAAAGCCTCAGTTGATTGCCCAAATTAGACATGAAGGGGGGGGGGGAAATGCAAGAACCAAGGAAGATACTGCAGTTCCTATTTTGGATATCTGAATAATTGTAGTCTCTTTATCAATGTAAAGAAAAATAGATGGAAAAATCTATATACATTTGAGTTATTTTTATTAACCCAGGAAGACTGTTTTAACTTACCTCAAGGACTTTTCTCACCTATTCAACATTTATATATACCCAGTAGTTTAAATTGTTCCCCAAAATACTGAAAAATTCAGTCAAATGCTAAAGAGCTGATATCTTTTAGTAACACAGTAATGAGGTCTGCTGAAGTGTTTCCTAACCAGTCAGTGTTTGTTTTCTCCAGTGTTTGGACTGTACTTCCGCACAAACGTAGGGCAGCACACGTTGTTAATGAATAGTAGCTGCCTCTCATGCATAGAAGCACGATAATGATCAGAAGCCCCAGACAGTCATACTCGACAACAGAACGCCAGATTCTACCTGTTTCCACAGACATTTTCCTTTGAAATGGTCGACATCTAGAAGAGTCAGAGAAGGGAATCATTTTAGAGTTTACAGATGAAAACGGCTGTTCAGCACAGCCACTGCCCAAGGATTGCTCTAGGAAAGGCTACATTGCAGGCCGCTGTAGCAGGGTAGAGAGGTTCCTCCTGGTGCCTGGCTCCAGCAGGCTCCTTAGCAGGAGAGCCGGGTTCTGGAAGAAGGGAGCTTTGCAGATATCAGGAATCCCCAGCCCAGAGAAGCACTCAGCAGCTTCTGCCTGTTCAGCTGCTTGTAGCAGCTGGATTCCAAACAGCTGACCCCTTCTCTTGCACTTCCCAGTTAGGGAGAGGCTGAGTTACTTCAAATACTCAAGGAGAAAGGCAAAGCTTATGTGGGCATAGCTGGAATGTGAGTCAGTAATGAAGAGATTAAGTATTAGGATTGAATGAATAAAATGAATGATTTACAATTAGTCTACTGGGTCCAACCATGAGTAGTTTCGAGTTGTCCTCACTGTGAAAATTACATTGAAAATAGTTCTACTCAATACACAAATGTAGTTCTTTTATTCCCATTTACACTGAAGAACAAGCCTTCTGTCTCTTAGGTTTAACTTAAATGTATTAGCAAGTAGCATTACTACAAGTTGTAAATGTATGAGTTTAAAACAAATGCAGCCACCTTTAACCCTAAAATCAGAACTGTGATTAGTACTCCAGTCATTTAACGTGTCCATTATGTTAAAAAGTCTGTATAGTATTTGAGACTTCCGTTCCCACATTGCTCATTTTTCCTGTCATTTTGACAAAATCCCTGACAGAAGAAACTTAATGGAGGGAAGTTTATTTTGGCATGGTGGCGGTGGCCGTCCAGTGCATGGTGGTAGGAGCTTGCTATGTTTCTGTTTACATCTTAGTGGACCAAGAATTGGGAACAACTGGACATGGTCATGGACATTATAGAAACCCAAACTTCCAGCAACCCATCTCTGTCAGGCTGACTTCCCAAACGTTCCATACCCTCCACAAACAGCGCCACCGCTGGGCAGAAGATGTTAAAACACATAAGTCTAGGGGAGCATTTCTGAATCAAGCCATAGCACCATTTAAATTTTGTTTTTATTTAAATGGGAACTTCTGTTACTTAGTAAGAGACCAATTAAGTGAAAGTAGTGGGATTAGTTGTACATGCACAAAGAAAGTATCAATTTAATAAAATAAAGCCATCTATTTACTGGAATCTGTCAGAGGAGTGATTAGCATAAGAAACCAAATAAATCCTCAGTGACACCTGTTGTTGAACCAGTAGATGATGTCAGAGCCAAGTTCCTAAATCAAGACATCAGACTGATTGGGCCCAGAGCAAAGGCAGTAGGACTGTCCAGCAGTTTCAAGTTTGGTTCTAGTAAAAAAAAAAAAAAATACAGTAGTGTATCAATAATCTTGTGCAGCTTAATTCAACAGTTTTGTGGTATACTAAGATACTTTAATTAAGAATGCTATCAAACTGTAGTATAGCTACATTTTTATGTATAAATATTCATTTATTTAAAAAAACAGGGAAAGGCTGTTAGTGGCTGCAGCCTTATTGACATAGGCAGCATTATTTCCTTGGACCATTTTAGTCATTCTTTTCATTTGTATATAGTAGTCAAAGTAATTGAGTAAATGGTCTTCATAAAATAAAGGAAAAATAAACATTCTTTTGTGTTTTAAAAAACTAGATTTATTAATTTTGCCTGTTACCTTGGA